TCTCCTCCTATTTCCCCCTATCCCACACGCTAGTTCCCACGACATAAATCGTTTTATTAATATTGTTCATTTCATTGCATTAGCAAAAGTGCACGTACATTTTCTTGAAGTCAATAGGACTAATTAACAGAGGGTATACTTAACGATATCTATATGAATAAAAAACTTGTATATGCCCCTACTATCAATAAAACAGTCAGCTCATTTGCTCAAGCCTTAATGGAGATATTTATTATTTTTTTCCTTTGGTGCGTGACTTTTGGACCACCCTGTAGTATCCTAGTCGAATATTTCTTACTCGAATACGCGGCTAAATTTATCGATGTAGCATTAAATCTTTGACGATTCCATCTATTTTTGTGACAATAGACGGAAAGAGAAAGTAAAAGACGTAAATATACTGCCATTCTTTATTAAGATTTTAAATTGTTTTATTACGATTATCTTTTACGTCGTTACTTTCAAGATCAATACAATACAACAAATACAAAGTTCCTACTAATGGCATATAATGAAAAATTTTAATGATAGTTTCTCAGTTTTCTTTAATCCTTTTATGGTAATCACATGAAAGGATACTGTTCTGTCGTAGAAATTAGCATCGTTATCATTGATTTATGTGCATTTTTTTCACTTTCAGATGTCCCTCACATGTGTTCATATTTTCAATCTTATACAGGAACATCTTGAAAATAATGAGTACAAACACTGATTCTACGATAAGATCATCAAATTTATTGAGACTATATTTTAGAAAACAAAATGTTCTATTGACATCTTAGCAGGTGCGACTAGTTTCCATCCAACAATGTTATATTTTTAACCATTATGTCGCTAAAAGCCTTTTTATTTTACCTACATTTCTTGATTATCATTTTGACCGAACATCACAAGGTGATTATTTCATCGCAGTTGTCTTGATAAAAACTTATCTGAACTTTCAAAACTTTAAAATACCACTTAAAAATGATCGTAGAATTATTGAATAGCTTTCGGTATATAAATCTAGTTCATCCAAACAGAGCGCGTAGAACCAAAACTTACAAGGGACGGTCCCCAGGTGTGTCCCGGGGATTTCAATAAAAATTATGTGGGTTTGTTAAGTCAAGTATACCTATCTCAGGTATGAAACAATTAGCGGCTACCGCTGCTGTAACAAAAAGTTATAGCCAAAACATTTTCCCAGAAACTAGCACATGTACTACGCTATACCGGTTTTTCTTTGAAGAATTTTTCAAAGTTCTAGTGCGTTTTTTCGCTGAGTATTATATACTTCGTTCGGTTTGCATGTTCTGTATAATATATGTTAATGGAACAGTTAATGAATGTGAATATATGTTAAGTATATGAAGAACGAGAGGATGACACATGTCATCCTCTAATAATGTAACATCTATGTTTTCACTATTTCTTTGTTTTTGTGATATCCATCGTTTTTGTATTTATATATTTGTTCGTCCTTTCGCCCTATAAAATAGACCGCTTTTGGTTTAAATAAAGTATACGATAACCTTCACGATCTCTAGCCTGATACAATACCGTGTTTCTAATGCAAATAGGATTAATGTTAACAATATTCTTTATATGTTTAACAATCTGATGCGTCAAAACTATCCAGAACTCGCTCAAAGTGAACCATCATGTTAAGATCATGAGTTGGCGGACCAGCTGTTTCTGTTGTTTAATCAATTATTAAATTCGGCAGAACTCCTGGTCGACCATATTGTAACATTGGATTTTGATGAATATGACGATTGTAGTGCTGACTATCAAGAAGAAGATAAGAATGATGCTGCTTCAAACGTCGATGGTATTAAATATCCTTATGATACAATGTGTGCCATCGTAGAATATTCAAAAAACCATACTTTTAATTCAATACGTAGACGATATAAACAAATAAAATATCAAGAACAATTACGCCGCAGCAAGCAGTACGTTCATGTTCACGGTACGAAAACACAAAAACTACAACGTGCTGATGACTTTGTTTATGCAGATTTTATTCGTTTGCGATAATGTTGTCTACCAATACACGATTTAGATTTACGGCGCTTAGCTATTAAAAAAGCGCATGATTTAAATATCGTTGGTTTTAAGGCGTCTCATCATTGGATATTCAACTTCAAACATCGTCATCACATTTCATCAAGAAAAGTGACAAAGCTGGTAACCAAAAATCATTCAGAAGATCGAGATAAAATATTGAAATCCGCCGAAAATTTTGTCCAGACAGTAAGGAATACGATTTCAGATTATGCTGAAGATCATATATTGGATAGCGATCAAAGCAGTTTCAAGTACGTTGTTTACGAGTGGAAGGAAATTAAATAGAGAATAGCATTTTTGGTCTTTCAGTTTTGATAATCCATCAACATGAACTCTCGCAATAACCGGTGAAAAAATAATAAGGCGTCACGTCAAATCAATAAATGCTGTTACTCATTCATACACGATCATGCCGATCATTAGTATGGCTAGAGAATTAATTCAGCCGGTTTTCATATGTTTACAAGAACCTACAGGAAAACTAGGATCGCGTGTTAAACAATCAATTTATCAAGCTAGTAACATTCATGTTAGCTGTAGTAAGAGTGGAAAACTGACTAAAACACATATTCCCTTGACTGAAAGGAGGGTCATACAAAAAAAAATAGTTTGTCTGTCTATCTGTTGCAGGGTCAAAGGTCAAAGGTCACAGGTCAAGTTTTAAAAATCATTACATAAACAGCTCTATGGGCTACTGTGACCAGTGACGTACTAACCGTGATAAGATCGACCAATCAAAAACCGAGGTCTACAGATTCCCTGTGGTATGTGTGTGCTCAACATTAGTTTTAATTACTGTTGGCGATCGGATCTTATTTTGTCACTACTGTGTCTTTATTATGTTAAGAGCAGGTTGACAATGTCCGGGCGCTTGATTTCACGAATCTTGTATTTAAAATTGATTTTCAACTTTCTCTATATACAGAGAGCGTCCTGGCATCCTAATTATTTACGTATGATATACCAACACTAGCAGAACGCCCGGACGCTGCTTCTATAGAGAGAAAATTTCGAACTGATTAAGAGTTTTCTTGCAATAATACTAATACCTTCTTAACCTGCTCGAGTAATCGATAATAAAATAACAACCAGTGAAATAGGGTCATGATATTTTATTGTGACAAAATTCTCATGTAATTGAAATTTGAGTATAATAGAAAGGAATCACTCTAAATATATTATGTGTGATTTCGTGTTTTTTCGAAGTTTTCTGTTTCCAATGAACATTCGATTGTTTCAATGAGAACAACAAGAGAAACTAATTTTTTCAGATTGTAGTAGCTGTCTCATTTGGATGAAAAATTTTTCGATCGTATCTTATTTGACCGATAACTATATTTCTTCTTCTTTCTGTTCTGTCGTTCCATTATGTTGTTTAAATGAGTTCATTAGGTCACGATAGACGTCCGTTTCGTATATTCTTATCGTTCTCTTTCACCGTTTCGCGCCAATTTTGTCTATTGTGTGTCATATTATGTTTTTATCATTTATTCCTATTAGGTATAACCTTTTCCATTTAACAATAAATCAAAATATCCATAGAGTCCTTTTAATTATTGCTTTATAAAACTGATTCTAAATTTTCCTGGAATGTATTTCCTATTTTAGAAAGATATTGACAACGATGTCGAAGATTGTTGTTTGATCGTTTGAAGAAGAAAAAAAGAGAAGGGAGTATACCGAAATTTCTTAATATGTCTGATACATTTATCGTCGTACATATTTATAAATTGATGGACACAAAGATAAGCTGTCTATATTTATTGGTTATGCAAATTTTAAGAATAAACATTCTCACTTGCATCTTAAATTAGTATATTACTTGAATTCATTACAAAGTGACTTATAGGATGACAAGTTAGGCAAAAAGAGCTATAACAAGTATATAAAACTACTGTTCAAGTTAATACCAGTGATGACATCAACAGAAAGCATAATTCAGTATAGGCATTCAGTCGAGGGTTAAGCGAGTCTGCCTCGACGAGCGTTATTTATTTGGACATCTTTAGTTTGTTTTTCCATTTCATAGAACATCTAAATGACTGATAAGACCGACAAAGTGTATTTGTTTTTATAGAAAAATAAAACTTCAACGTCCAAAAGCAAGTGTTTCATTTGAAATTATACCTGACAGAAGAGTAGTAGACAAAATAACATTTAATATCAATAATTAGAAAAATGGGATCTCTTTGTTCAAAAGTATATCTGTTACACCATCACTAATCGTAGTGAATAATTCAATACGAATAACTACCGATTATGAAACTATTCAAGTAACAAATGTATCAACAACAAGCGAATTTGTTCCATTCGACGATCGAACATCTCATATTAGTGATATTTGAACTATTACTAATTCGATTAAAATATTTCATAATCTTGATGAATGTATTGATTTTATAACTGATCTTATCGATAAAAAATCTTTCTAATCATATCTGGTAGAATAATCCAACAGTTTGCATCTATTCTTCATGAATTAACTGAAATTGATATCATTTGTAGGACATTACGTCGTAATGTTCGTTATTTAAATTATAATTTAAAACTAATCAGTATTATTTTGTCAACTACTTCAATTAATCCAAATGAACTTGATCAATCATTTATGTATTCACAATTAGTAAAAGAAAATATTCTCGATATGTCATATTCAGATGATGTAAAAACAGAATTCATTTCTTTTGCTTGTTCTCAATATATAGACGATGATGTACAAATGAGAATAATTGATGAGTCTTGAGGGTGTGGGTGAAAGGTAAAAAAACGTCGAAAATCAGTTTTTCTAAAAACACATTTCTAGGGATATTTCGATGCGGGAACTTCGAATCTGATGTTATTTTTTTAAG